ACCTCATCAGTGAAACTATCTTATATTCCCTTTTGGATCTTTAGTAGCTGAGTTTTTGTGGGGCAGTATAAGTCAGGCTGTAAAAAAGGCAATGTTAAGAGATACACACAGGGTATTATGGAAATACAGAGGATTCAGAACTTTACTGATCTTTTTAAAAGAGAGATGATAAAAAGCAATATGTTTGTTGTACCTCATCAAGATCTTTGGTCTCTCTGCCCAATTCATCATCATCTTCATCAGAGTCAAGTTCTGGCCCAATATAATTTCCAAATTCATCATATAAGTCAGTATCCATGATGCTAAAATTCAAAGAGAGAAGAGTTAGATTCTGGAAAGATAATCAAAGACTCCATGGCAAACACTTGTATTTCGACTTCTAAGGTTGGCCAGATACCTCTTATGCCCCTTTTCCAGATGTGACTAATGACTGATTAACCTACTGACTGATTCCCTGCAAATCCCAGTACCTTCCCCACCTCTATGCCCTACTCACTGTCCTACTTCCATACTCTCTCCTCCATTTCTTTTTTTTTCCAAATATATTTTTTAGTTGTAGATGGACACAATACCTTTATTTATTTTTATGTGGTACTGAGGATTGAACCCAGTGCCTCACATTGTGAGGCAAGTGTTCTACCACACTACTAACATTGTCCTATATAATCACAACACAACCACCATAATTGAAAAATGTATACTAGCACAGAATTACCACCTAATACACATATTCCATTCAAGTTTTACAAATTGTTCCAATAATGTCCTGCACAACCAAGGATCCCATCCAGGATTACCATCTGCATTTAGCTGATGTGTTTTTATTCTCATTCAATCTAGAACGGTTTCTTAGTCTTTCTGGACTTACATGACTTTTGAAGATTACAGAAAAAAAAAAAAAAGACTCCCATTAAGTGCCTGCAGAAACTTTTCTAGAAGGCTGTTCATGGAACAAATCAAGTTAATTTCTGTTTCAGAACCATTGCACTTGTCATTCTCTTTTGCCCCTTGGATATTTATACCTTGTTACTTTATTAAAACGTCACCTTTTCTGTCACTTTTTGAAGTCCTCCATACATGCTTTCCAACCTCCGCTTCTACTGTCTCGTTAACATTTACCGCTAACTCATTTATAGTAATTTGTTTGCTGTTCATTTCTCCAAACAAAAATTAAACAAAGAACTTGGTTTGGTTAACTTGAAAAAGGCCCGGCAAAAAAAAAGCCCCAAAAAAGAACCGGTGAAGGAAATAATGACTCCAACACTTGCACATACAGACTTTCCCACAAATACCCCAAACCCGGATCTCTTGTGTACTAAATCTGCATTTCTCCGCTAGACTTCAGGCTCTCAAAGGTGGGAACTTGGCAAAGAAGGGATTAAGTCGGCATAGATGGAGGAGGAAGAAAGGGGACTGGATAGTTAGAGCCTAGCCTGTGCCCACTGACAGGACGTTACCCACTGAGGAAACAAGGAAAGCCCGGAACCGGTGCGCATGTGTCGATCCCGCTCCAGGCCTCAATTTACCCATTTGTGAAGAGAAAGGGACAGAAAGTATACAACATCTCTCCAGATATGACATTCTTTAATTTCCCATTCCACCCGGAAAAAAAAAAAAAAAAAAACCCTTCCAGAGCGCTTACCCCGCGGCAGCTCACCTCCCGCCCGCTCAGCCAAGTGCTCCGAGTCGGCCCCTGGACACCGCGCTTCCGTCCCACGCCGCTACAACGTCTGCGCCCGCCGCCAGGAAGGACCTCGCAGACGCCACGATTGCGTTTCTCGGAGGACTGACCTCTGCCTGCGAATCTGCTCCGAGGACTGCTGACCGCGAAGACAGGAACCGGCAAAGTGGACTTGTGGGTCTCCAAATATAGGCCTGCGCTGCTCCAAAGAAAGTGAGGTCTGAGGACGCAGAAATATGATCAGGCGTCTCGGAGCCACCCTGAAAGGGGGCCTTCGGACCGGTCATGCGGGAAGACAGTTGGCGTAGTTGCCGGGCAACCACCGTGGTGGGGAGAAGAACGCGCTGAGCTGTCTTCCGGTTCTAGCATATCAGGGATCCCCAAAGAAAACAAGGGGACCAACGCCAGGGTCGCGAGGGTGAGGGACTGGAGGCTGAGTAATAGGAAAGGAAGAGCTGTTCTATTCATTCGATGACAGGAAAGGCCTCAGAACTGGATAGAAAGCCACACAAGGTGTCGGGCTTATAGTCTCAGCTACTTAGGAGGCTAAACCAGGAAGATAAAAAAAACAAACAACAACAGCAACAAAAACCTGGCCAGGAACGGGATACCTAGATTCAGTTGCTGACCAACCCAACTCCCTTCTCAGCATTCAGCTTCTCCACGTCGAGGTGGGGGTCAAGGTGGTCATGGGGTTGATTGTAGACCTCCTGCTTTCCTGCTCTAGTGCTGTTCCTGGGTGAACCACAAAATCTAGCTCAACTTACCAGGAATGTGAAGCTCAGGAAGGTCTCACAAGTAAATGCCAGAGCCCAGACTGGAACCCATCTGGAAGATTTTCTTGTAGAAAAGGACAGTTAGACTCTGCCCTGAGACTACAAAAGTACAACGGCAGAACTAAAGACTTTTCCCATGTACTTAGACATCTGTGCCTCCAGCCTTGGGTTGGACAGAGAGATTTGGGGATGGAGATTATTGAGCTCCTTCTTCTGATACTTCAGTTTCCTGTTCATTCATTGCTTCTGGTTTGAGTTAAAACTATCTTTTCCCAATAAAGATATTTCAGGAAGGATGCAATGCTATCTCTGGGCTCTGGTAGCTAACAAGACTCCTGCTTTTGTGTGATATCCCCAATGGAACAACTTGTTATGGAGTGATCCTATGTGGAAGAATGAATGGCCTGAATTCTGAGATCCAAATGCCTCTTCAGCTAAAGCACCAAAATTATTATTTTTGTGGAGCTGGGGATCAAACCCAGGGCCTTGCACATGCTAGGAAAGTGCTTTACTACTGAGCTATAAATATTTTTAGAGTAGAGAACAAAATCAAGACAGGGCTCCAAATTGAAAGCCAGAATTCTGTATTTTCAGTGACAAGTCTTATATAAGCCCTCCCTGTGCAACTCAACTTGTATAAAGTAGAAAGCCAGGTTTTTGTAATGCTTGCTAAGATAAGTGTCATAATGTTTTGGGGTCATTTTGTGTTTAAAGAATCCAGAGGTGGGGCTGAGTTTGTGGCTCATTGGTAGAATGCTTATTTAGCACATGCAAGGCCCTGGTTTCAATCCTTAGCACCACATAAAAATAAATAAATAAAATAAAGATATTGTGTCCATCCACAACTAAAATATAAATATGAAAAAATAATCCAGAGGCATCCTCCTTTTCCTGATATTGGCCCTCCACTAATGTTCATTCCCTATGCCTTCCTTCCCAGGAACAGGCCATGGAAAGGAATGATGTTATTGACTTCAAAGCTTTGGAGAAAGAGCTGCAGGATGCGCTCGCTGCTGATGAGAAGTACAAACGAGAGAATGCTGCCAAGCTACGGGCAGTGGAACAGAGGGTGCCTTCCTATGAGGAGTTCAGGTTGGCTCACTGCCGTTTTTCTCAGGCCGTCCTGCTAAGATGGGCTACAGTAGTAAACAGCAAGCACTCTGGAATCAGATCATTCTGAGCTCCTGGCCTCAACCTCTACTACTGGTGTAATCTTCTGAAAGTTCCTTAATCTCTCTGAGCCTCAATTTTTTCATCTGTAAAGAGAATAACTTTTGTTATAATTAAATAAGCTATTGCATGTAAGATTCTGAACACAGTATCTGGCTTCATGTGCAGAGTTTGAAAACTTTTAGCTATACTGCTATCATAGTTGTCATATTATCCTGTCAACAGGTTCAACCTTACATCAGGCAAAACCTAACTGCCTCCCTCCCAAGACACAGCACTAAGTTCACCACCCATTCTCTGTCCTTTATCTATAGGAGTATTGTCCTTGCATCACATCTGAAGCCTCTGGAGCGGAAGGACAAGATGGGAGGAAAGAGAACTGTGCCCTGGAATTGTCACTCTACTCAAGGGCAGCCTTCCCAAGATGTGGCCACCGAAATCTCCCAGGTAGGTAAGGCCCACCTTCTTTAGACTAGCAGAATGCTCTGTCCTAAAGCTCCAACCATGTCTTCTTACAACACATACTTCTTCCTTTTATCTCATGGAAGACAACAGAGACAGGATTTTGCCTCTAGTCACAGAAAGAAAAGCAACCACGAGATGATAGGGCTGAGATGAACTGAGCAGAATGAGTCAGAAAGCAAGGTAGGGAGGTCTCCTTCCATCAGTCTTTTGACTTTCATTCCTACATCAGAATTGGATAACTCAGCTTCTGAGATAGATCATAGATAGCACAACAATCCTGTGGCAGTTTTGGGAGAGAGACCCAGCCTGTCAGGTCCTTGACACTCACTTTGTGTTCCTTTCTCTCTTCCTGAGATTTCCCATTAAATCCTTCACCCTTCTCAGAACAAATACTGATCTACTATTGAAAACCAGAGCTACGTCCCATTCATCAGTAGGAAAATCCCAGCATAAGTGAGAATCCAGGCCAAATCATGGCCTGGATTCCTTGGGCCCTCCCTCTCTCTCACATCCCCAGTTCCCTCCTTTGAAAATGAGACCCACAGGCACAGTAGCCTACCCAGTGCTTAGAGAGCAATCCCAGAGTTAAGATGAAAACCCACAGGCTCCCCTTAACCTCACTGTCATAGAGCAACCAGAAGAGCTCTTGACCCCCTTTGCTTCCTTTGTGACCTAGGAGAAAGTCCTCTTCCAGCCTGAGACCTCAGCAGAATTCTACCGAGATTGGCGACGACACTTGCAGAGTGGACCAGAGCGCTACCAGGCCCTGCTGCAGCTTGGAGGTCCCAAACTGGGTCACCTCTTCCAGACAGATGTGGGGTTTGGACTTCTAGGGGAGCTGCTCATGATACTGAATGATCATGTGAGGCCAGCTGATAGGATGACAGTGCTGGGGGTCCTTCGCAGCCTGGCCGGCACGGGACGCTTTACCCTGAACCTGAGCCTCCTGAGCCATGCTGAGCAAGAGGGTTGCCGAGGCTTGTTTCAGAAGCTGCAGGCCATGGCTACCCCCAGATCTTTGCAGGAGGGGGGCTGTCCAGACAAACAGGTTGTGGAGGAACAAGATGGTGGGCTCCAGGAGGAGGAGGGGCTCCTGCAGGAGCTATTAGAGCTGTACCAGATTCACTGATAGGACTGGCTGCCCTCAGAGTCCCTCTCAGAAGACCACCCTGACCTGCTTTCCTGATGTTTGACAGTGCTGCCTCCCTGGCTGACGTGAGCTTCAATGATCATCAGAGACATTTTTTTGGTGGTTGTCTTGGGGTTTCTGCAGGACTATAATGAGAAACCCACATCTACTTCTCTTCTCAGCTTGGAATTTTCAGAGAAAAAACTTGAATCAAGTCTCTCTAACTTTTCCAGTCACTGTATCTATCTTTTGAACTGTGTGAATCCACAGGACAGAAAAGGGTCCAGGAGGTTGAAATCAGTTTTGCTTCCCACCCTTTTTGAGTCTAACCCACTGGCCATGAGAGATGGATGTGTTTCCAACCAAATTCGGGTGATACCAGGTACAGCCTCCACTCAGAAAAAGAAAAAAGCAAACTTGTTAATCTTTCATGGCAAATAAACACTGATACTCATAATTCTTTAATCAGAATATTTGTAGCTCAAAGTCAGTGAATTGACATTTAATTAACAGTGACCAAATGCTACTTCATTTCAGGCGCAGAATTTTTCTCTAAGGGCTGAGTTCTTGTGCAGGTTGGGGAAGCCCCCAGCCATTAACTTAGGTCCAATGTCCTGGATGGCCAGGTATATTGGAGGGAAGGCTTCCAGACTGATGGAAGGGAAGATATTTTATATGGGGCAGGTCGGGCAGGGCCTAGATCAGTGAAGCACAAGGGCCTTATGGCTCAATCTGGTTTTCCTTGATCCATTCTTGGAGCAGTGGGAGTGCCAGTGTTCTAGAAAGGTGAGTGAAGGCCAAGTTCTAGAATGATTTTCCCTCGAGATCAGGCCTGGAACATTCCAAGGACATCTAGTACATCAGTTGGAAATAAATTGCCTTGCATTTGGCTGCTTCCTGTGAAGACTGTTGCTTATTTTCCTGGCTGCTTAGTTCTTTCCTCAAATAGAGGCCTCTTCTTGGCAGTGATTTCTAGAAACCCCATAGGTGTTCAGTGCCTTGTTTTTTTTCCCTGCCCCTCTGTCCCTCCCTCCTGTAGATATGAGCCTGGCCCACACCACTGTGCTCCTATGGGCCTGGGCCAGTCTCCAGGCCTTTGAAATAGTGGAGAAGGAGAACATTTTTCTGAAGACCCCCTGCCCTGCTTTCCTTATGTTTGACAATGCTGCCTACTTGGCTGACATGAGCTTTGAGCTTCCCTGTCACTGCAAGCCTGAGGAGGTGCCGGCTGTAGTCTGGTACTATCAAAAGCATGTGGGTAGCAGCCACACCAAAGTGCTGACAGACTTTGATGGGCGTGTGCTGACCGAGGCGGCCCAGGTGCGTGTGGGCAGTGACATGCTAGTCCGTTTCAGCATCCGCATGTTTAGCCTGTTGGTTTTCCGAGCCCAGCCTGAGGACTCAGGTCTATACTTCTGTGGCACCCGCAAAGGGGAATACTTTTATGCCTACGATGTGGACATCCAGAGCAATGAGGGAATGGTGGCGACCTTCAAGGACATGGGCCAGAAGCCCTTTGCTGATGAGTACTATGGGAACCTCCATGTCTTCACCACCTTCTGGGAGTGGACCCCTTGTGACCGCTGTGGGGTGCGTGGGGAGCAATGGCGCATTGGCCTCTGCTACCTGCAGAGCCCTGACCTCTCCCCACGGTACCTGAGGACACAGTCTGATGTGGTGTCCTGTGGTTCACAGGCTGTGCCTAAAAGACTACGCACCACAGTCAGGGACCACATGCCTGAGTTGCTGGTTCAGAGCTGCCTGGTACCCTGCGAAAAGAAGAACCGGTTCCGGGAGAGTGTGCTGGCTATATACAACTACGTGTCCAAAGTGGGTAGCAAGCCTTGGGTGCCCAAAGTGCCCATTCAGTTTCACCAGCAGAGACTGGGCCATGGACTCATCATCTCCTGTCCTGGGGCCCGGCCAGAGCATGCTGTGGCTTGGGACAAGGACCACCAGCACCTCTACCGCACACAATACCTAAAAGGTGTCAACAGATCCATGAGAGTATTCATTGACCATGGCAACCAGCTCCACATTCGCTTCACCCAGCTAAGTGACCGGGGCATTTACTATTGTTGGCGGCAAGGGGTGCAGATCGCTGGGTTTCGACTCAGTGTGACATCCCGAGGGCACTACCCAGCCTCACTGTCTGACCCTGAGACTCGTGCTGCTGTGGAGCTCACCCTGATAAGCTATCTTCTCATCACGGCAATTTTTGTCACCGTTCACCTCTGTCGTTGCTGCTGTTACTCATTTCGCTTTCGTCCCATGTTCTCACCCTAGGCTCTCTCTTCCCAAGCTCTGAAGACCAGTTGTGCTTCAATGTGTTTGTTAAATGATACCAGATGCCTCTGGGTAGGCGTCCTGGGCTGGGACATGTGGCAAGAAGATGCAGACAAATCTATTAGTTACAATCTGCTTCCCAATTTCATGAGCAGGTATGGGGCCTGATCTGGGAAGTGGGGAAACCTAAAGCAGGTGATAGCTTGGGGACTGAGGAGAAGGGAAGTAGGCAGGGGCACATGTTTTCTGACTTCACACTTAGGACAGAGGAGGAAGTGAACTAATACCCACCAAATCACCTGTTGCTGTTGGATCGCATTTGAGGTGCCCTTGAGGATTGCTGACGGGGCACTGGTTGAGCTGTGGGTGGCACAGGAGGAAGGAAGAAGAAAATGAAGGGAGCTAGCATATGTCTTCCTTGGCTTTCTCCCCAGCATCGTACTGGGAATGGCAGGTAGGAATAGCAGGTGTGGGAGTAAAGATGAAGACTAGGATGGGGAATGGTGAAGGGAGCAGAGATCAAATTCTGGGCTTTCCTGAGCCACTGCACTCAGGCTGGGGATGAGAAGATGGAGTGGGGAGCAGAGGCCAGGGTACCATGCCTACTGTGGCAGAGCAGGTCAGAAATGGGATTTGGTATGTGGCTACTGCCATGGGGACTTGGACTCCCAAGACAATTAGAGATAAAGAGTAAGTTGAGTCTTGTCCAGTGCTACATCTTGACCCCAGTTTCCCCACACCTGCCATGAAGAGATGAGAGTACACTCTGGGGAAGGCCATGGTATGCATCTTTATTTCTCCTCAGTGAGTAAAGATGGTGGCACTTCCCTGAAGTTAGCAGCAACAGCAGCAGCAGATGGTAGCAAGGAGTGAAGAGAGGGCACCAAGTCTTGGGAAGAGGGAGGGATCCCCTGAGGGACCCCCCCTTCCTTCTTGGCCTCAGAGGGGAGTAGGACCATGGAGTGAGCCCTTCCAGCCCCATTTCTGGGCACAAATATCTACCACCTGCCCACCAGCCTGCCCATGGAGAGTAGAGCAGGTGTTCTGGGGTGGAAGAGTATGCCCGAGTGCCCTTGCTTCAGGCTGCAGAAGAATGAGCCATTATCTTTGCTCTGCTCATGCTTCAGTTTCCCAAACTATAAAATAGGGTGCTGCCTAAAATACAGGTGGGGTACATTCTATACGCAGGTAAGAGGGGACACAAGGGGCCCTTAATGTAGGGAAGAGCAGCAGCTAGTCATTACAAGTGGAGAAGGTTAGGTGGAGGGTAGTGGCCTCACTGTGGTCAGGAGGCAGCAGTCACAGGGCTCTGAGGCCTGGGTGGTTAAAGATTATGCAGCACATAAGAGGCCTTCAGAACTGAGACAGTGGTACTCTGCCCCCATGGAAAGCAGCCCTCTCTCCCCTGTTTCAGCATCTTCAAAAGGATGAGTCATTTTCTGGATTCCCATGTCCCAGAGGCCAAGTGTAACTTGTTACTCACAACCCCCACTCCGATGTCTGGCATCATCCCCACTGCCTCCTCACTACCAGTGTCCCTTCTACCCCAGATGTGGGAGTCGTCCTGGGTTTGACCTCTCTGTATCCATACCTAGGGGCCAGGAAGTCCCCCTCGTTGCTCTTCTAACACTCCTTCCCTCTCCACTTAACTATAGATTCCCGGAGAGCTGAGAACCAAGCTCCTACCTGCCTATAGACTGGTTCCCTGGATGGCAGCTCAATGGGATTAAGACATTTGAATTACCACTCAGGAGGCCCCCTGGGACCTTTCTCTGTAGTCTAGGTAGCAGGACTTCTCCTACATTGGTCAGGGTCATTCTAGAAGAACAAGCCTCTGCCCAGGGCTGTCTTGCCTGTGAGGACTTCCCCTTCCAGCAGCCTAAGAAAACTCAAAGCCAGAGACTCCAGAGACCTCCAGCTTTGGCAACAGTTGCCATAACAACAGGGTGATTTGTAGGTGCCCCCTGCCCTATCCAACTTATTCCTTCACTCCCAATTTTAACCCAAGCTACTGGCCACACTTCTAGACTGCCCCTTTAGTGTGAGTTCCCTGTTAGTTGAAGTTGCTAGGTGCTGGGTGGGTGCCATCTGGCAGGCCGAATGCTGACTGAGCCTAAGGCAGCAGACTGGTGTAGAGATGGAGGAGGGAGGGGAGCAGCAGTTAGGAATCAGGTCTGGAGAAATGAGCTATCCAAGGAGAAGCAACTATACTGCTCCCACTACAGGCCCCTCATGCTGTGGGGCCACCTGGTGGCCCACCTCACATCACATCCTTGTGCTCCTGCTTGGACTCCTTAATGACCTGCAGGGGACAGGGAAGGTGCACAGTGCAACAGTTTAGGAGCTCACCGACTCCAGGTCCCCCATGCTAAGCTATGTAACTTATGTAAAGCAAGTACCCAACCATCCTAGAACTTTCTTAAGACCGCCTTTCATTGTGCAGTGGTCGGAGTGGGTAGTAAAGGAGAACTTGTACAGTGCTTAGCACCATGCCTGGCACACAGGGCTTAGGGTATAAGAGTAGCCTTACTGCTGCTGCCACTCCAACTGAGAATGCCAAGGGAGCAGCATGCCAAATCCCTTCTCCTGTCCTTCTGGCAGATTCCTTTGAATAAAATTTGAAAGTCCTCCCTCTTCCCAACTGTCCCAGCCAGAGTTGGGAGTGAAAGCTACTAGCTTTCCTTCCTCTCTCCCCCAGTCCTGTTTCCAGAAGCACCTGAGTCTGGAGAGTGAGAAAGGGAGAGAGCCTGAGTTGGGACCCAATCCAGTGGCCTAGGTCCTTTCACTGCCTATGGAAACTGAAGAAAGGAGTGATGTTCAGGCTCCTCCCAAAGTCCATAGCCCTCTAGGAGCTCTTGGGAGTCACCAAGGACCTCCTGTGTGCCTGGCCCAGGCTTTCTTCCAGAGCCTTGCCAAGTATCCCTGGACACAGCCAGAATCCCTCCTCACCTCGCCATCACGCATCTCCACAGTCTTCACCACAATGTTCCTCTTGAGGTGGCCTTCTGACACGGACTTGGTGTCCAGGCTGGTTTCTACAGGTATTGGGAGAAGAGGCCTCCCGTGGGTCCTCGGGACACTACACATCCTCTCCTACACTCAACTTCCCCATCACACACACGAATCATCAGCACAAGTGCCTATCCATCCAGGCAGGGAGAGTCCCTGCTCTTCCAAAAGGGCTGGAGACCTCCCAAGTCCCCATGGTGCTGGGCATATCCCACTGCGATCCAGTGCTCTGCCATCTCTGACCTGGCTTCATTTAAATCCCTATCTGGCTTTCTGGCAATCCAGTACTGCATCAGAGAAGAAGCACGTGGGCTTTGAAATCTGGTGGACCAGAGCCCTAGCTCAGCCACTAACCAGCCGTATGTACAAAATAATTGACCTCAGCCGTATTGCAGAATGGGGATGATGGTCTCTAGGTGGCAGTAAGAAGGTGATTAACTAAAATAATGTATGTAAAACATCTGGCACATATTAGTGATTGATACGTATAGGTCCCTTCCCCTTTCTTACTTGTCTGTCATTTATGTGATCCCTCAATGTCTAGCACTCAGCAGATTTTCACTACCTGGTCAGCATGGTTAACTTTCTGATGCTGAATTAAGCCTTGGAAACACATCTGGTGTTCCTAAATATCCTCACCCAGAAGAAGAGAATTTTCTTTCCTTATCTACAAATCATTGATGGCCACATATCAACAAAAAAGTAATTTAGTCTCCCCTTAGAGAGAAAACTATAACATGTCACACTATTATTTAAAATTAAGAGCAGAGAACATAAAATTTCATTCACTACAAGAGTAGCACTCCTGAGGGAAATAATCCTCTGGGCTGCATTTCACTGAGAAGAGCAACAGAGCCTTGGGGACAGATGGATCAAGCATAGAACCTGGCCACCAGGCACAGCAAGACCCAAGGGAACTTCCCAGTGACAGAGGAGGGAGGCAGAGGCTGGTATCTGATTGAGAGCATCTCATCTGAGTACCCAGGGACTTGCCACCTTTAACACTGGCCAGATCTGCTAGTTTAACCTACAGTTACCCTGTGCTGGGCACTGAGGTTCCTGGGAAAGTGACACAGTTCTGGTCCTTTAGGACTCCTGGGAGGAGTGAGCCCAAGAGGACCAGGAAAATGGGCTTGCTGAGACTTGCTTACTCCCTGTCAAGCTGAGAAAAGCACTCATTTGAGAGGCAGGCAGCTAACCGAGAGCCGACGGGGCTCCATTTACAATCTGGTGAGCCTGTATTGGTATAACTTGTATTGTGAGCCTTTTGAGATGTCTTGTGACCTTGTGACCTTCCCCTTCTTTGGTGCTTTTGCCCCCTGTAGTGACAAGCAGTTGGAAAAAAAACAAAAATATGAAACACTCAAAAGGGCAGACCTTGCCCAAGGCATGCAGAGCAGGCAGAGGCAGAGACCTCATCCAGTTCTGCTGTGGAATGGGGTGTAGGGAGGGGAGGAAGGGACACAGGCAGAGCAGGACAGGAGCAGCAGCAAGCCCCACCTGTGAGTGCCCAGGGATGCTGTGCTCTGGCTAGGAGCTCTACAGTGAATCATGAAGACCCTCAGGGAGAGCCCAGACCTCTTTCCCCTGGTCTCTGGCCCCAGGCCAGAATGCCCATGATCTTGGGGGAGGAGGTGGGCATCCAACACCCTTCCTACAAGGCCCACTCTACTGACCTCGGATCTGCAGGTTGGAGAAGGTCTGCACTGGAATGGTGATACTGAAAGACAGCAAAGGGATGGGGTGACCAGGCTGCCCTAGGACATCCCAGGCCAGGTTCTGGACAAGGGTTGGCATGACAACCTAAAGGGCCATTTGCCATGCCAGCAGAGTCTCCCAAGCTTTCTGCAGCAGCCAGTGCTCTCTGCGTAGCTCCAAAAGTGTGCCAGAGTTTTGGGTGTTATCTGCCAAGGAACATGTTTCACTAAGGAGAATGGAGACTTGCATGGCAGAGGAGAGGGAGGAGAAAATGGTGAAAGTGCCAAGAATTGGAAGAGATCAGTCAGGGGAACAGAAGTCCAGTCTTTGTTGAGAGGCTGAGGAGTAGTGAGACCCTTAGTTTGGAGGGTGACCCAGGTACCCCCCACCCTGGGACCTAATCAATATTGGTTGGAGCCATTCATCAGACATCTATTGAATAGTACTGTGTGCTGGTCAGGCAATGTGCTGGGCACTGGGTGGGAGAATAACTGGACCCAAGGATGGATCACTCTCAGGCCCTGAAGGGAGCAAGGCAGACTCTAGAGGGAGGCAGCAGGGAGAATTTCCCGAGGGCTGTGGTCTGGGCTCACCGGTTTTCCTCGCCCTCCAGTAACTTCCTATAGGTGGCGATCTCGATGTCCAGGGCCAGCTTGACATTAAGCAGGTCCTGGTACTCCTGCAGGTGGCGGGCCATCTGGTCTTTAAGGCTCTGTCCCTCTTCCTCCAGACGCGCCAGGGTCTCCTGGTAACTCGCCGCCTCCCGCGCGTGGCGCTCCTCCTGCTCGCGCATCTGTCTCTCCAGGGACTCATTCTGTGGGATGTAGCCGGCCTGTCCCTCGGGGGTCCCCCCGGCACGCTGCGCAGCGCTGGGACCTCTGCGCGACTCTGAGAGGCTTCGAGCCAGGCCTCCAGCCCGGAGTAACATCGGAGCCCCGCCCTCTGCCAGGTCCCTACCCAGGCCCTTTTCTTTTAGCATCTCCTAACGTGGTGGTGACCCCCACTGCTCACCGTTCCACGCAAGGACTCCAGGTCGCAGGTCAAGGCCTGCAGCTGGCGCCGGTAGTCATTGGCCTCGTGCTTGGCCTGGCGGAGCAGCTCGGCGTTGCGGGCGGCAGCATCTGTGAGATCAGCAAACTAGAAGGGGAAAGAGCCCTAACTGAGGGGTGGGCCCCCGACACATATATCCAGGGGATCCGCGTGGGCCCGTGGAGACTGCTGGGAAATCAGGGAGATGGGCATGACCCAGGTCACCCCCAGGCAGGGATTAATAACCCCCTGGCAGGGATTATTCCCAGTGACAGTGACCCTTGGATTGGAGGCACAGTAGTCACTGCTGTGCCTCAGCCTCTAGCACAGTACCTGTTCAGCCGGCGAAAGAATGACCAGTGCCAGAGGATCTTGAACCTCTGTGCTGGCTGCCCTATCTATGGGCCTGAAACCCGCCCCACCTCGGATAATAGGTCCTGGCCAGCAAACCCCTGGGGCTATCTGGCCAGCAAACCCCTGGGTGCTAATAGCCCTTTCCCCCAGCTTGCACTCAGCATTCCAGCAGGCTTTGACTCTACTCAGACTGTCACAGGCTTTTGCTGCTCACACCCCTCAGCCTTGGCGCCCTGGATCAGCACCTCCAAGTACTAACTCTCTGTGTTCCACCTCCCCGCCTCCTAACAAGCTCTGCTGTTCCTCTTCTCTTTATATAGGTAACCTACCTGTTTTTTCTAGCTCAAATGTCCCCCATCGGACTTCCCTAGTTCCAACGCTGCAAATAAACTGCCCTGTGATGTTTCTCTTTGCAGCCCTATTTAGGTCCATTATCACATCTCCCTGCTCAGATGCCTCTCTGTATCCCAGCAAATAACCCGGCTTGTAGTAAATGCTCCATACCCCAGCACGCAGTCTGGCAGAGGCATCAAGAATGCAGGCTCCCAAGTGAAATGGGATAGGGTTGGAAATCCTACTTTACCACATGGGAGCTTTGTGGCTTTGGGCAAGTTGGTTAACCTCTCTGGGTTTCAGTTCTCTCATCTCTCGAAGAATAGTGCTTCATGGTAAGATAATCCACTCAAAGCACAGGGCCTGGCATTACAACAACGTTAGTAGCACAATAGAAGTAATAGCAGGAATAATATTAATGAGTACTTTTGAAAGTAGTAGTGCCTGTGTGACCTGGGCAGGTTATCTAACTTCTCTGGGGAGGTCAGTCACTGAGAGGATATTCCTCTATCTTCCTCCTCCCTCCTTCCCCTGTCCTCTTGTATGGAGCAAGGAGGGCTGACTGAGGAGCCCCACAGGCAAGGCTACCTTGGACCGGTACCACTCCTCTGCCTCCTGCATGTTGCTGGACGCCACTGCCTCATACTGCGTGCGGATCTCCCTCAGGGCTGCTGTGAGGTCTGGCTTGGCCATGTCCATCTCCACGTGGACCTGCTGTCGGGCTAGCTGTTCCTGGAGTTCCCGCACCTCCTGGCCAGGGTGAGAGAAGGGGTACCAGGGGTCAGGGCTCCAGGTGTAGGCTTCAGCTGGGGTTCTCACAGCATCACACCCTCTTCTACCTGCCCCTGGGCCAGGAGCATTGGCAAAGGGAGATGAGACAGCCCTTGTTGGAGTAAGTGGCATGGCCAAGACTAAGAGAAGCAGGAGGGAGAGTTCGTCATTGTCCTTCCTGGGCTGGATAGGTAGGAGGCAGGTGCTGAGCATGTGCCTGTGGGTTTCCAGGTTCCATAGGGCCGTGGATTGTGAATCCAGAATTGGAGGTCAGAGATTAGTGGGTGTTTTTTTGTTTGTTTGTTTTTGTTTTTAAGAATGGCTCTCGTTTTGGCTGGGGATGTAGCTCAGCAGTAAAGCATTTAACTGGCATGTGCAAAACAAAAAACAAAAACAGAGAGAAAAAGAATGGCTCTCATTTTAGTGGAGACAGAGGGCAGTGGGGAATCAGAGACTAACTATGTGACCTTAGGACTTTTAAAAAGCTTTTTTAAAAATTTTGAAACAGGGTCTTACTAAGTTACCCAAGCTCCCTCAGCCTTAGATCTTTTTTTTTTTTTTTTGTACTGGGGATTGAACTCAGGGGCACTTGACCACTGAGCCAAGTCCCCAGCCCTGTTTTGTATTTTATTTAGAGAAAGGGTCTCACTGAGTTGCTTAGCACCTCACTTTTGCTAAGGATAGTTTTGAACTTGCGATCCTCCTGCCTCAGCCTCTCCAGCAACTGGGATTACAGGCGTGTGCCACCATGCCTGGCTAGGACACTTTTTAACTTTTATAGACTTCAGTGTCTTTCTCTGTGAAAAGAAGGTAGCTGGAAGAGCTCCTATCTCTTAGGGATGATGTGAAGAAAAACCCAGGCAGCAAGGCCTTGCACTTGTCAGTTTAGGGGGCATTTCTGTGCCTTTCACCAGGTGGTGGGGATGCTCTCTGTCTCTGCCTTCACTTTCTGTCTCTGTCTCTCTCATTTTCTTTCTGCTGCCAATCTGCTTCCTCTGTCTCAGAGTATCTCTGTCTCTGTCTCTCTCAGTGTGTGTATCTCTCTGTGTTGGGTTTCCCTCCCTCTGCCCTGGCCTCACCTCCTCATGGATCTTCCTCAAGAACCGGATCTCCTCCTCCAATGACTCAATCTTCCTCTCCAAATCCAGACGGGCCAGGGTGGCTTCATCTGCCTCCTGGAGTGGGGATGGGGCATTGGGCCACTCTGACTCCAGGCTCCTCCTCTCCATTCCCCAGCCTTGTCTTACCCCTCCTTCTGGGGTGTTGGGAAGCAGCACACTGTTCTGAAGGGCTAGGCTTGGGGGCTGTGTTTGCCATCAATACTTCCCCCTCCCTGACCCTCCCCTCCACCTTTCTGACCTGTCTATAGGCAGCCAGGTTGTTCTCAGCCTCCAGCCTCAGGTTGGTTTCATCTTGGAGCCTAGGATGGGGAACAAATTCCTGGATCCAGGATCTTGTAGGATTCTTGGATCTTGCCCCTATCTCCCAGGAGGTGGCTACCACAGAGCCCCCCCCCAGGACCAGTAGAGTAGCAGGAGGAGTGAGGGTCAGAGAGGGGTCCTAGACAGAAGCCTTGACTGGGATCATGAGCAGACAAAGGCTTTTGCCTTAACTCATCACTAAGATGCCTTGTCTGGGTGGTGCACCTGATTCTGCTCACACAGGCGCATCCACCAGTGTGCACTTGCTGCTGCATGCTTGACACACACCCTCCTGCATTGGAGGGTGCACATACATGCCCACTGTTCAGCAAATCACCATGCCTCTGGGGTTTCCTCTGACACCAGGTACTACCTTCTGAGATGAATTTTACTGTGATCTCTGCTTGATAGCCATGCAAGTCAAAGTGATTTGAATATGATCAGAGGCCAGTGATATGTAGTCACCTCTGTTCTGCACCCAGACCTGCCTGCTCTTTCCCCCACTTCCTTTAGCCTGGAGCCCAAGCCTCTTTGTGGACACTCACCTTCTCCTCTTGTCACTCCTCCTTTGTATAGACCCAGACCCAGAATAGGTGACAACTCCCTCCCATCACACACACACACACACACACACACACACACTTCTCAATGCCCAGAGAATCAAATGCAAAACCTCTGTCTATTGGGGCCCTTGGCTGCCTGGCATAGCCTTCCCCTGTGGGGATGTACCCAGAGTGTCTGGCTCCCTGGAAGAAGTCCTTTGGGAATCAGATTCCTGAGGTCTTAGACTGCTACCTGGTCCCTCCCAGGACATGATAGCCCCCACTTTTCCAGAAGTGGGGAAACCCAGGGAGCAAAGAGGCTGAGCCCTTGTCCAAGACTGCAGCCCTGCAGCCTTGCCCTCTCAGAGGCTCCATCCTCTTTGCTCACCAGCCCCCTTTCCCTACCCTCCGCTCCTCACTTCTGCCTGAGGGTGCCGAGGTCCTGTGCCAGATTGTCCCTCTCCACCTCAAGCCGGGCGCTGTTGGCAGTGAGCTGATCAAGCCGCAGCCGCAGCTCCCGCAGCTCAGCTTGGTAGACATCAGCCAGCTTAGTGGGCTCCTTGGCCCGAAGCTGGTTCAGCTCAGCAGCCAGCGCCTTGTTTTGCTGTTCCAGGAAGCGAACCTTCTCGATGTAGCTGGCAAAGCGGTCATTGAGCTCCATCATCTCTGCCCGCTCACTGGCCCGGGTCTCCTTGAAGCCAGCATTGAGTGCCCCAGCCAGGGAGAAGTCCACCCGGGCTGGGATTGGAGGGTGCATTCGAGCCAGGGTAAAGCGGGAGCCAGGACCTAGGAGGTGGCTGGGACCCAGGCTCCGAACCAACATCTCGGAGGAGGTGTAGGACCGACGAGCAGAAGTGACTCGTCGCCGCTCCATCCTGCTTTGCCTCTGCTGACTCCTGGGATGTGAGGGCTTTATGGGAGAGTGGACCAGCCTGGCCCTGCCTGGGCTGCCCTGGCGACGCCCCCTGGCATAGCCTGAGGGGGTGGGGCTGGGCTGCAGCCCAGCCACAGGAGAGTTCTCTCACCCCACCAAGGTCACTACACCCAGAGGCAGGGCTTCCTGGTACCTAGGGCTGGATGCTGGGGCTGGAGCCCTGATCAATGAGCAAGGAGACCCTCTCTCTAGGAAGGAGTCAAGAAAGGACTGGGCCTGGGCTGGGGGTGTAGTTCAGTCGGAGAGAGCTGTCTAGCATGCAGGAGGCCTTGGGTTCAATCCTTAGGACCATACATATGCATGCATGTGTGCACGCACATGCACACAAGAGCTGTGCCAGGTGACCTCTGACCTGCTTCCAGGCCTTCCCTTACTCCACATTCCCTCTTCCTGTGCCTGCTAAATACAGGGAATTAGGTGAAGAATGAACCTATGCCATGCTGCAAAGAACAGCCTATGCTACAGTTTTCTGCTGAGCACTATTCCAACAGTATCCAGAGTCATACCCTCTAAGCACAGAGGTCCTGCTTTTCTGCTTTCTCCCCCTTCCCTGGAATGTCTAGAGGGGCAACTAAGATTTCTATATAGCTATGGGAAAGAGACGTGGAGATCCTGATAGAGCAGGAGGGACAGGCCTTCTCCCTGAGCCTCTCTTTAGCACTGTGTTTGCCTGGCCTCCCTGCACAGGCTCCCAGAGCCTGGTCCTTGACAACTCCACAAAGCAGTTACGAATGAGCTGGCAGTTCCAGCTCGAATCCTTGTTCCTGTTACACCCTGTTTCCCTGGTCACCCCTCACTCTCCCCCTGAAGATTTATGTCTTTTAAGTTCCCACACATCAGGCTGAGATGGGAAAGGCTTCTGGAAATGGGTGGGTTTGGGAATTCAGAAACCACGGGGTTTAATTGGGAACATAGGTCCTTGGTCCTGTTGCCCCTTGAGACTTTAGGTCCATCCATCCTGTCCAGTCTGGTCCCACCCAGGCGCCAAAGCCTTCTGAGCCCAGATAGTGCTGTTCCCCCAGTACTCTGCCCTCGCTGCCCAGGCTTGAGCTTCTGATCTCTACTCCAGGGCACTTGCTGAATGGAGCTTTGTTCTCCACCGCCAGCGTGGGCGCCATACAGCAAGGGCAGTCCCCAGGGGGCTGTACGGCTTTTATCCCAGGATTCCAGGATGTCAGGCTGGGGTACAGTGCAAGCCCCCTTGCTCAATGGGCTTCTCGGAAAGCATCTGAAAAGGGCTAGGGTGCAGCGGGAAGCAGGCTGTGTGCCCACCCTGACTATTGTGTCTGTGCCAAGGTGAGTCACTCAGCAGGCACAAGGAGGAGACTCTGGGGGTAGCCAGCCCAGCACCGCCAGGTCTCCCACTTGCAGACAAGGCCTGGCTGCTTGCCCCAGCCCCAACTCTCAAGCCAACTCAGGCCCCCAAGCTCCAGTAAAAGCAACACCCCCAACTCCACACCAGGGGACATGTTTTTCAATTGGACATCTGATGAGCTGGCTACTAAGTTTTCCCTCAATGAGTCCCAGTGCAGAGAGGGAGGTGAGAGCCCTTGGACTCCAATGACATCTGCCCCTGGCCTGAGTAGTGTCATGATGAGGGAAATCCTGAGGAGGGGGTCCTGGTGACCTTCGATCCTGATGTGGTTGGGAGGCTGGGGAAGGACAAGGTACTTTAAAGAAAGAGCAAGACAAGGCAGGAGACTTTGTCCCCAGCCTCATCTCTGGGGTGGCCTACCCTTCCTAGCTGCCCAACAGGAAATAGTATGTGGCCTTGCCTTCTTTAAGGCAAATCGAAGGGAAATATGGGCAAAGAGGTCCTGGAGGGAAAAGATACAATAAGAACAGAAGGTGCTCATCACTGGAGCTTAGGGACTTGCTCCTGTGCATGCAGACATGAGTTTGTTTTAGCACCAGCACAAAGGGTCACCCATGCTCTCCACCCTCGGCCTTCTCCTTGTGCCCTGTTATAACCCAGTTCCATCCTCAACTCCCACAGGATCCTGAGACCCCTTCCACAATCAGCCCCAAAATCTCTCAGGAATCTTACCAGAGACAAAAGTCAGTCATGGTTCTTTTGCAAACTTTCATAACCATTATTTTTGTGACATAATTATTGTAGAAAAATAGGAAAATACAGATAAGCAATACAAAAGAATTTAATTAGCCATAATTTTACCACATGGAGATAGATACCAGCTTTTTTCTACACATATAACTCAATTTTCCAAAATAGGCTCATGCTGCACAAATTATTTTGTAATTTGCTTTTTTTACTCAACAATATGTTGTGAACATCTTTCCATATCAATAAATATTTATCTACATCATCATTTTAACAGCTGCATGGTTTTCTACTATCTGTGTTCATTTAACCAAGCCCTGTTATTAGACAGTTACGTTTGCCTTTCTCTCTCTCCTAAACTGTCCTCATGCCCATCTGCCCCAGGCAGACACAACCACCGGAGCAAGGCAGCCCTCAGCCCTCCCAGGCTCTAATGGGACACCCATCCTCCCAGTCTGGTATAGGGCTCATTCTCTGAGGTGCCTCCTCTTCTGCTTCTCCAACAGAAAGGCCCCAACATGCAAAGCCTCAGACCAAAGCCTAAGCTGACAGATAGATGCCTGGAGATATCTATCTATCTATCTATCTATCTATCTATCTATCTATCTATCTATCTCCAGGCATACCTGGAGATAGATATACAAAGAAAGAAAGAAAGAAAGAAAGAAAGAAAGAAAGAAAGAGGCAAGCACTCTACCAAGAAAGAAAAAAAGAAAGAAAGAAAGAAAAAATCAAGCACACTACC